TGAACGCGTGCGAGAAAGCGTGTCAATGTCAGCCACCTCTTTCTCAACGTCTGCCTGGTGCGGTCTCCGTGCGGCGGCAACCCGAAGGGTTCGCAAGGTTTCAACTGCGTGGCAAATTTCGAGTCAGGCGCAGCACTTTCGCAAGTTAGAAGACAAGGAGATAGCTGGATATATGGATTCTTGGAGAGATAGGTAGACAAATAGATAGATCAGATTAGATTAGATTAGATTGATTAGATTAGACTAGATTAGATTCGATTCGATTCGATTAGATTAATAGATAGATAGATACATTGATACATACACGGACGGATGGATAGATAGATAGGTAGATAGACAGAGAGAGAGAGAGGTGGATAGACGGGAAAAAGATACGTAGATAGATAGATAGATAGATAGATAGATACATAGATAGATTAGGTAGGTAGATAGAAACATAGATACATAAAGGGCGAGGGATAGAAAGATAGAGAGAGAAATGGATCGCTATGTAAGCAGAAAGAAAGAAATAAAGAAAGAACGAACAGAATAGAACCAAAGAAAAGCAAGAAAGGAAGAAAGAACGATAGATAGATTGAAAGAAAAGAAAAATTAGTAACAAGAGACAAGGAAAGAAAAAGAGAAATCGAAAAAAGAAAATAAAGAAGAACGGAACTATAGTTTCTATATTCCAGAAGCGTCCGACCACCGGCTTCGCCGGCTCTGTGTCATCTGGATGTGATTGCTATGTATGTTATGCATGTTACGTTATGTGCGCATATATGATATTGTAGTGTGTTTGTATTGTATTGCAATTGTAGTCGCGATTGCAATTCTAATTGTAATTACAACTGCAATTACGTGTAACTGCATTGCATTGGCTTGTATGTATTCTAGCCCTTTTATGGTACATGCTAGAGTGGAACGCAGGCTTGGGGTAGGGAATCCTTTCCCCTGGCGGAACCCCAACTTCGCGCGACGCCTGCTTTGCGCGTCTTCCAGGGAGCCGCGGTCGGTGCTGCTTCGCGTCTGGAAGCCGTGGGCGACAAGCGTCAACCATGGCCATGGGGAGAGATGGGAGATGCGCTGTAAGCCTGGCGCCTGGAATGTTTCCCCAGAGGTTGAAATATTCTGAGGGTGTTTGTATTACACCCTGGGATTACACCCTTGGGAAATGACCCAGAATGGTTCAACACAACACGGTTTTACCCAGTGGGTGTATTCCCAGGGTGTAATACACAAACCGGTAGATTTGAGCAAACCATGAAGTAGACGCAAATAAGGTAGGATTCGAACCCTGGGCTTGAATTGAGGGGGAGGGGGGTGCTCAAAGGATGGAATGATGCCGCCCATGTTCGAAGTGAAACTTTTTGAACACCAAGATCCTCAAATAAGAGGCGCTTACAATTTCGACCACTCTGAAGCAACTAAGCGGGATGAAACAAATACAAGGCCAATGGGAAGGTCAAGGCTAAACGCATCAAGTTTGGTGCGTTTAGCACCCCCATTCCATAGAAGTTGCCCAACAGTTGGGACCATAGTCCAACCGCCCAAGAGGTAAAACGGCAACACCTTGGCGATGGCCCTGAACCTTCCGCAGGTAAAGAAAAGGCACAAAGGATGGCAGAATCGTCCATCGCATGGGTGCCATTCCCCCCCTCTGGAGGATGTTTCAAGGGAAGCCAAGACACCAGCCCTTGACTCAGAATGTCGCGTGCCTGAATGGCCGAGAGCTGGCTCTGAAGGCTCTCCTAAGCGACACGGCACACCCAAAACCTTTGCGGCCGCAAGCGAAACGAGGCACCCATGTGCACCCCAAAGGTTTCGTGGAGGGCATCCTCAATAACAACCTGGTCAAGTGGCCAACTCGAAATCACGAAACAAAAGGGCCTGATATCGCACCTATCAGTGAACAGCCTCAACAAAAGCACCCAGATGGGCGTGTCTAAGCCAACAGTAAGTCATCTCCATGCGCTCTGGGCTTCGAACCAGCTGGCGGGTGGTAGACTGATGCTCACTGTGCACGCGCTCTTTGGCACGTCGCTCATCCTCCTCTCTGGGACGCTGGCCCAAAGGTAAGAGAAACAGGACAGGAGCACAAAGGCAAAGTACCAAAAAGAAACGCTGGTTCCTGGCAAAAGGGAAACTTCAACAGTGGTGGCACCTTTGGGCTTTGGTTAACTGGTTCTAGCTCGGAGAAACCTTGTCCTGTGTTGCACCCAGGAAAACGATCGGAAGGGCAGCATTTGGCACCCTGGCTCATTAGGAACCAAAGGCTGACCAAAAAAACCCTTGACCAATATTCGGCCTACAGGAGGTTCGAAATGGGCGAAAGATTTGCCCGTTTCTCAAATGGTTTTGATTCGAGTATCCACAGAGTGCCAAAGGAAGTTTGGAACACTTATAGAGACTTGGAACCCCGTCCTTCTCTTGCTGTGCTCTGCGATGCTCTGTGCGAACTTGCTCCAGCTCTTGAAGCAGCGACTGGCGGTGACGTTTGGCCCCACCTATAGCCCCCCACGACCCAAATGGTGATATCTCATGTCGCTATGATCATGGTTCCAAAAGAAGTCTGATGGTTGAACTTCAATAAGGGTTGAGACCATCCCTAGCTCCCCTGCTTTGAAGCCCTCTTTACACACACCCCGAGACACACACATCGACTTCGACGATCGTGCTCTTTTGGGGCGTCCTTCTTCCCAGCCTGATGTCTGGCTTCCCACTCGGATTTCAGCTGCAAGCCCAAATCCTGACACTTCAAAGGTGCCAAGCATCAGACTCGTGAAAAAGCTTGCGGGAGCCAGGGAAATATTCTGGCGACGACAACAAAAACTGGGTTTGAAGGAGTTCCATTTTGTGATGCGACCTACTCACCAAAGGTCCTTGATCGGAAGGCTGGTCAGAGGTAATCACACCCTAGCTGGTGATCGGCCAGGCTCTTTGTATTGACCCTGACACAATGAAGCCACAAGTGGTGAATTGGACCATGAACAAAGGATCATTTCAGATGTTGAACATATGAACCTTCCAAAGATTTGGTTGGACTGGGTTGGTGGGAAAACGCTGAAGAGTGTCCTTTCTTGGGTCAGATGGGATTCTGGATGCGAGCTCTCCAACCACGGCCCCACAAACCCAGGCCTTTTTTCAGAAAGTACAAATGCGGCTTTCCATGGCACAAATTCGGCTTTCCCTTTTCGGCGATCCCTTTTCCATGCTTCGTCTTGAGCCCAGCGGGGAAAAGCTGAAGCTCCGCGCCCCGGGGCCCAGCGCCTTGGTGGATTGCAGCTCCGCTTCGTGTGACGCCTTCATCTTGGCGTAGGCCTGCCGCACCGCGCCCCACAGGCGGGGCTGTGTGTCGGGGCTTCCTTCGAGTCGGTGCCCCGTTTTGCGGCGACGGCCAGGCACAGCCACGGGGCAGAACCCAGGTTTGGGGGGTTCCCCGTGTTTGGAGACCAAGCCATGTTTGGAGACCACCTGAGGGAAGCCAGCTTGCCGCCACTCCAACTTTTCCAAGCCCAGACGCAGCCATGGGCACCTCCTCGTGTCCGCGGGAAGATTCGCTTTGCGTGGACTGCAGCCTGACGAGCCGGATCTCACGCTCAGTGGATGGAGTTCTGAAAATGGATTGGTTCTCACAAACCCCTTCAAACTGACGGACATGAAATTCCATGTGAGTGACATCCACCAAATCTCGGTTGCCTTCTGCTCCCCTGCTAAAAGCTTAACTTTTAGTGATGTTTAATGGAATACTCATTAGGCAAAAAGTTAAAGTCCTAACATCCAAGCAAAATGCAACAAAGAAATTCCATGTGAATGACATCCACCAAAGGGTCCCCCAAGTAGAATTCACGGCCCATGAGATTTTGACCAAGACTGTGGTTTAAATCCCATGGAATATGGATCCAGCTCGGATTCCTTTAGGCAACCCGCCCCAAACGGCGCAACTCCGCCTGTCTCTGTCTGCCTGAAGCTGCTGGTGCTGGATCTGCACAGGTCGCACACGTGCACTACGCGTGTCTAAGATGGCGCCGCCAGCCCGAAAACTGACGTTCACTGAGAATCAAGAACCAAAAAGCCACGACTACAAACCACCCCGTTGACCCGCGGGGAACGGTTCCGCGGAAAAAGAAATCCGAGTCTGAAGGACTAACCGCATGCACCTGGCACCTGGCACCCCTCACATCCCCTGGTCATGATTTTGAGCCATTTGTGTGTGTGGCTTTGCTTGTATGGTATAGGCGCACAGGGATAAATCCACGGTTGAGACCTTGTAACATGCAAAATGTTGCAAAACACGGGAACCTCCACCTTTTCTTTTCTTTTGGACGACTTTATATAAAGAGAAGCACCTGATAAACATATGAAACCAACCACGACGAAATGGCACTTCAAGACAGATGACGCCTGAAGGGTGCTGAGCTCAGTCCGGATCGTTTCCTGAGCACAAGTGTCTGGCCAGCAGCCGTGATCCAACAAAACACGCAAGGCATGCAGACACAGGCGCCTGGATGCCCTAGACCCGAAATACCATACGAGCGCCTACCCCCAAAGACCTCAACGACAGGTCTTGGACCCCCAAAGTTGCGGAAAATGACCCGAAATCTGTGATACCCAAGTCAGCCAGCGCCTGACCTACCTTATCACTCACGAGACCCGACAGCACGATGAGTCTGCACTAAGATGAATCCATTTCCCAAGTTCCGGACGACTTGTTTCTGAGACGCCTGATGTTGACCATGCAGTTGATCTTTCTCAGCACGGGTTCGCTCGAGGTCTTGCAAGACCACCTTCGGGGCTAGACACACAATTGCTTGGATACTCATCTTGGACGATCCAAGCCAAACGAGTAGGGATTGAATCGTAACCAAGGTTACCCCTGCTAGGGGGCTAATGACTATCCCAACCAACCAAAGTAGGGGCTTAATTCTAATTAGGGGTTGCCCTTCTCAACTGAGTGGTGATCATTGAAAGCAGCCTCGAATCTTGGGAATCCTTTCCAAAGTGTCCATGATCGCAAGTAGGATGTAAAGCTTGATTGGGGTCAGCCCTGCAGGGGTTCATTCCCATCTTCACCAAGTGCGCTGGTGACAGAGGCAAATGTGTGTGTGTGTGTGTGTCTGTCTGTCTGTCTGTCTGTCCTGTCCTGTCCTGTCCTGTCCTGTCCTGTCCTGTCCTGTCCTGTCCTGTCCTGTCCTGTCCTGTCCTGTCCTGTCCTGTCCTGTCCTGTCCTGTCCTGTCCTGTCCTGTCTCTGTCTGTGTGCATGTGTTTGTGTCTGTGCACTTGTGTGTGTGTGTGTGTGCGTGTGCACACAAGCGCCTGTGGGTTGTCTCTGTGTCTCTGTGTGTCTGTGTGTCTGTGTGTCTGTGTGTCTATGTGTCTGTGTGTCTATGTGTCTGTGTGTCTGTGTGTCTGTGTGTCTGTGTGTCTGTGTGTCCGTGTGTCTGTGTGTCTGTGTGTCTGTGTGTCTGTGTGTCTGTGTTGTGTGTCGGTATGTTTGTATGTGTGCTTGTGCTTGTGTTTGTGTGTGTGTGTGGTTGTGTGTGTGTGTTTGTGTTTTCCTGTGTGTGTGCTCTTTGTGAGATGAAAAGTCCAGAGTTGCGACTGTCTACTTCCCAAGAAAAGCAGCAGCCCACAAGGAAGCTCGCCACATTGAACAAACAGCATGTCCAAGAGGCAGTGCTTAAAATTACCTGGGAAATAGGGCGAGCGCCCCATTTGGGCTTTGAAATGTCCAAACGTCCTTCAAAACCGCAAAAGCGGAACATGTACAAGACACAAAAAAAAAGTCTTTTCCCAACCCGCCTGGTGCTTGGATTCCAGGTCCAGGCGCGCGCGGGCCTCCTCCTCCTTCAGACTGCTGGCTTGAGCTGTCCATGGAGAATCACCCCATCCCGCTATGTGCAGCGGGTCCCACCAGCGTTGCGGATCCTTTGGCTGCAAAGGTTGGTTGCAAGGGCAATCAGAACAAAACAACTTGGGGGGTTCGCTTGCATATTTGGCACATACCAAGATGGGTTTGTAAGTTAGACACCTGAAAATTATCTTAATTAGGTTACTTTTTGGTCTGGTGGTAAAGAGGCGTCATGTTCTGAATGGCCACATCGTATCTTTTCAGGATCCCGTTTGAAGCGCCCAAATCACAGTTGTTTGCTCGCAAGGGAAGAGGTGATCGCAGATAGTTCTCTCATTTTCCATGCGAGTTGGAGGGGGCCTTCAGTCTCTCCCGATACCCCAGACCTCCAGTAGTAGCAAACAAGAAGCAGAAAACCACTTCCGAAAGAAGAAAACAAAAAGAAAAAATGGAATTCGGGAAGCGACCATCGGTCGGTCTGCTTCCTTCACCTCACCCTCTCCTTGTCCAGCTTCAACTTCCTTTGATCCGCGTTCACAAGCTCCATCTGCTTCAGGGCTTCCTGGAAGCCGGGTGTCCCAAAATTGAAAAAGTCGCCAAGAAAAAAAAGGCCCCCTTTCATCTGCCTTTGATTTCACTCCACCGAGCTCTTGGGCTCTGAAGCAGGGTTGCGGGGACTGGGGACTGGGGAGGGGAAACTGGGGACATGGCGCTGGGAAGGGGACTGGAGGCTGGAAGTCCCAAGGGAGGCCTGGCGCTCTACCGCTGTGACGCACGCGGAGCGCGCGGCTCACCTCGTGCTGCCGAGCCATGGCCTCCTTCGCGCGCTGCTCGGCTTCCTAGAAAAAAAGCCGAGAAGCGTTGCGAGAGCGGGGTGGGTCGAGATCGGGGGACCCCTTCCCATTTTCCACTTCACAAGACCTAAGTAAACCAGGAGGGAAAACAGAAGCGAGGGAAAGATCAGGCGCGTGACCAGCGAAAAACCGGCGAAATAAACCATGTGGTACGAAACTGGCCTATGACTCACCCACTAAAACACAAGAAAAAACGGGGGGGGGGGGGGGGGAAATACGAAACCTGGCACCCGGAGGAGGACCTCAAAAGCGGGGCCTTTTGAGCTCGCAGAACAGGTCGACCCATTCACGAACCGGATTCGGTTCCCCAGAAACCTTCTCCGGATTCCCTCATTCCCTCTCAAATGGGTGGGTCAAAATTAAACCACCAGGGGACCACAGGTGTTGGTCCATGTTGCCACTTAGGTTCCATGTTGGGTACCTATTTTTGACCCACAGCCAAATGAACAGAATCATGCCGGAACCTCTGCTTCATGGGTTACAAATGAAACCTCCCAGTCCTTGTCCCTCTGGAGGTTCTGCAAGTCTGCGGAGATCTGTTCTTTGTCCTGGACCACTTCCAAGTGCTTCCTCTCCGCCTCAAAGCGCCCCAAGCGCGCGCGACGCGCGAGCCGCGAGCCGCCAGCGCGCGCCCCCCTGGGTTCCTCACACCCAAAAGGGTAAAGCAACTTGGACTGACTTCCAGGGCCTTGGGTGGTTTCAAAAAACCTTCTGGAAGAAATGGATGGACCGGAAAGGACCAACGCAATACAACAGAAATTGGGTGCTGAAAAACCACTAGCTTCCCTCAAAGATGTGGAAGTTCCCCCGGAATGGGAATGCTTCAGTTTCCTTCTTCCTTCAGCGTGCCGTTAGGCACCAAAGGTGGGCTATGTCCGGTTTGAGGACACCATAGTGTGAAACTATATCGGGGGACGGCGATCCCTGACATGTTGATGACCATTGCTGCCAATCCCAAGAAGGATGTTTTGACCAGGGCACTTATTATGGGCATGAGTGCCAAATACGGACTCTGTGGACATCATGTGCATTGAAATTGATGTTCACCAATCATTGTTGAGGGTGCCGCCTATTAAAGGTTGTTGCCAGTCATGAGATTGCACGCCTCCTCACGTGCGCGCTTCTCTCCAGCTTGGTCTGCCTGACATGCGCAAAAGCAGCCAACATCACCCCACCAAATGGCCACAAAAAAGTCAAATCCCCCCCCCCAAAAAAAAATAAGGACCCTCTCCCAGGAAATATCGCTCGCATCCGCACGCCTGCAGCTTGTCGCGGTCGGCTTGCAGCTGCTGCATGTCCCGCAAGACTTGCGCGTGCCTCCGCTCGGCCTTGTGCGGGCACGGACTCGGAGTTCGGCTTCAAGGTGGGTTCTTTGTACCAAGCGAATACAAACTCCTCCCCCCCCAAGGAAAATAAAGGAAACAAAAGGGCACCAGCAACAAAACATACACTCCCAACACGGGCTCGCCTCTTCCTTGAGACGCTTCTCCTCGTCTTTGTCGGCCTGCAGCTTCGCTTGGTCTCCGCCTGGCTGAAGGAATGATCTGAGAGGATCCCTTTTGATAGTTTAATGGAAAACAATCAAAGACCACACATTTTCAGGTGTTGCCATTTGAAGACAAGCGTGGCCCGAAAAAATGAGTGCTAGAAGATTCTCAGCTTGCATGATGAAGGCAGGGCTTTGCCATGCACTGTGCACTTCACATGAAATTTGCGGGGTGGCCAGCGGAAGAGACTCCTTCGGCTCGGCCAAATGTTGCCGGCTCCACGCATCTTGTCCATATCCTGCATCAGCTGCTGGTGCTTTCTCTCCGCCTTGCCAAACACAAGCAGTTGCTGGTAGTATTTTCGTGATAATCACTACAAAGCAACCCATTTTGAAGCATCAAGGTGTTTTGAAACCAAGAAGAAAATCAGCCCAGCCCCCGCCTCCCTCCTTTTGGACTCATTTGCCCATTTTGTGTCTCAAAACGGCGGACCCCACACTGGGCGGACTCCGGTTAGATTCCTTTCAAGCAAACCAAAAAGGACACCTTTAAAAAAGGACACATGAGTCACGATCAAAATCATGTGTTTCCCCAAGAGGGGGTGATATCAGCGCTCGTCCCTGATGTGCCTAGCACCACAAATAAATCTGGAAATTCTGGCCAAACCTCATGTGGCCAATAATTAGGTCAGGGGACCGTACCTTCCCCATTTGGTTCAAAAAAAGAGTCACATCCATTTGGGTGTTCTTTTTCCAGGGTACCCTTTCTGGATCGTGTCAGAGGACAACCAGAAAGGAAACCGCCATCTTTTTCGCGGCATTTCGAGCCAAACAAAACGCGGTCTCTCCTCCGCCCTGAGCTGCTCTTCTTTAGCCTCAGCGCCCGAGACCCATTGGGTTCTATGGTCGTAAAGGCTACCCTCCCTCCCACTAACATGGCGCCTGACAGGGGGTCCCTCCAAGAGGAAACTCATCTTCCAGGTACCTCCCCACAGGTGCCATGTTAGTTGGAGGAAGGGTTATCAAAAGGCCCTGGTGTGAAACCCGGCATACACGGCCAACAGGAAACCACGAGCTGTGAAAATCGAGGCAGTCAAAAAAGCCCAGCTTTTGATTCTGGCACATTCCTGGTATTTGAAGGGAAACCCAAAAGGAAACCCACCATTTTCGGACATGCACCGAAACCCCCCATTTTCGGAACTGCCCCGCTTCCCATGCCGGAAAACACCCGCCTGCCCCGCCTGCCCAGCACGCCCCGCACGCCACTTAGCGCCGCGCCTTGGCGCTTTGAAGCTCCGCGTTGTCTCGCTCCATCTGCCTGTCGCGTCCAAACAAAACTCGGTGAAGGAGACAAATCGGTGAAGGAGACAACTTGGGCCAGGCAACCAAAAAGAAGGACCTGAATATATCTTGTAGCTGCGGATCTTTGGATGTTTTGAGGAACCCGGAAAAATACAAATCATCTTGACCAGATATGGCCATGGTTCAAAATCCCAAGCCCGGTTAGCCCCCAGTGAACATCAAACAATCCGACCACTAAAATAGGTTCTAAAATGGGTGGTGAATTCACCTACCCCAAAATGGGATCCCATTGGTTTTGACCTACAGCCATATATCTTGTACCTGCTGATCTTTGGATGTTTGAGGAACCCGGAAAATTCAGGAGCCAACCTAAAAGCGGGGGGTGTCCTTTGGACTTCCCCCTGAAACCATCCAGAAATGGATTTCCTATTTTGAAAACACCCTGCAAAGCACGTAGAAAGCACTTGCATGGTTGCAGTTTGAGCGCCTAAAACCCGCAGACGCTCTCAGCCTGGTGGTCGTATGGGTCTCGCCATGAAACCAGGTAGCACTAAACTGGCCAAGAGGAATTGGTTTTGGGCGGTCACCTGGCCAGGCATGCAGCCAAGCTGCTGCTTGTCACTTTCCACCTGAGCAAATCACTCCGAGAATCACCAGAAGAAGAAGAAAAGGAAGGAAGTAAACTCAGCTGACGCATGATTCACCCGGCGGTGGCTCAAAAAAAAACGGTTCCCAAAATGTCACCGTGGTAGATGGACACAAAGACTCGAACCTGCATAACCCGAGCTCTTGAATTCTGAGCCACCCGGCCTCCAAGAAAAAACCTGCTCGAAAAAATCGGGCAGGTCGCTGGCTCCGCCCCGATCGAGTCCCCGGCGGCAGAGTGCCGTTGCCGCATCTCCTCCTTGGCTTTCGTCTCCGCGTTCAGCAGCTCCTGCAAGCCCGGGCCCAACTCAGCATCTCACGCTCTGGAATCCCCGCGAGGCAAGAATCGCCGCAGCTTTCGTGCCCTCCCCACATGGAAAACAACTAAGAAGAAATGGTTTGGGCCATGTTCCTCAAAAAAGGGCCAAGAAGCAAGTATGTCCCTTCAAGTCAGGGGATCTACTTTGGGGGCCAAACATTCCCCAACCAAGGCGGTCTGTGAACCCCATCTGCCAAAGATTCACCAGGGATCGTAAAGGCCGCCCGTGAGGGTACACCGATTGTCTCACAATGGACCCCCCAAATTGGTCAATGCCCTTTGGTTTCCCTCCTGTAAACCAACCCAAAAAAAGGTACCCTCAAGAAGACGGACGCACATCGATCTGGCAAATCTGGCCTGCAAGTGGCTGTGATTTCCATGCAGCGAGTTCTTCTCATCCAAGACAGCCTGAGTTCGCACTCACACTTGGCTACGTGACTTGACAGCTGCTTTGCGCTGGGGTTTGCCTTTTGGTTGGGGCCTGAATCCTATATGAAAAATGTAACACCCTTGTTGGCAGCGGAGGCAAGGCAGTGAGGCCCCAGCTTGATGCAACCGCTGAACCTGCACTTGAGCATGTCAGCCATATGCGGAAATGACTGGTTTCCTCCAAGAGGACATGGAAAATCAGTGAGTTCCCTGGTTCTTGTGGAGAAATCGAGTGAGTCCCCCCCCCGTGCCTCCCAAATGAAACATTGACTCCTGGTATATTTTGGCCGAACCTCGATGTGACAACGGCAGAGCATGCATGAAGGCCATGAACAGCTGACTCTCAAATCGATTAATCTGAACATCGCCAACAATAGAGCTGGGCTAAAACTGGCAGGTTGCCCCTTTGGTCTCCCTTGAAAACCTTTGACCAAATGCTCGCAAGGATAATTCGCAAATTGGAAATAGTGGATATTCATCATGGGCGAGCTCGCCTTGCGTCACGCATGGCGGTGGAAAATAACCCTCTCTGTATTGCCAAACTGGTTGATCCCCATCCCCAAACAAAACCACGCAGGGGATTCCCTCTCACAGAACGTGGCAACCCAAAATGGTATCCAAAACTTGTGCCCAAAAAAAAGGTACCCAAAGATTTGTCAAAAAATTGGTACTGCAACCCACAAATGCTTGTAGGTCAGAAATTGGTACCCAAAATGGGACCCAAAGCACCCAAAGAAAAACGGCGCCTCCAGCTTCGCCTTCTCCTCCGCATCTTTGTCCGCCCGAAGCCTGGATCAAACGCTTGCATGTACCAGGGAGAACGGCCATAAAGTCGTGTATATATATATATACACACAAATGTATAAAATATGTGTATACAACATATATAATCATATACATATATATATATATACATATATATATATATATATATATATACACGTGTATATATACATATATATATGTATATATATATATATATACATATAGATATATATATATATATATGTATATATAATTGCTGTGTTTTGCAGGGCTCCAAAAAGCAACACCGGAGTCCAAATCAATTTGCCTGAGCTGATCTTCCTTCAGCTGCTGCAAGTCCCGCAAAACCAGCGCATGCTTGCTCTCCGCCTCTTGGCCTCCGGTGCAACCACCGCTGTGGGGCTGCAAACCAAAAAGGGGTCCACCAATTCGAGAAACTGGGAAAGACCACCCCATTGCACGAACCCCGGCCGACCCTCCGAAGTTGTTGTGTGCAATCTGCGTGGGTGCACATGGGTGAATTGACCCCTTTGTGTTTGGCTTGTCGAAAAGGGAGTGCTAAAACATGTGAAAACAAGGGTTCGTCCCCCCGGCTGTTGATGTTTTTTGTGGCTCGTCCCACGTCCCGAACCGTCTAAAACTAGCAATACAGGGGCCCGCTAGTTCCGGAATCACTCATTTAAGCTCAGGATTGGCCCTTCTGCTTCTCCGAGCTTGGCAAGCGGCGGAGTCGTGCTTCCTGCTCCTTCTCTTGAGCAACTCGCTCTTTGTCGACACCTCAGTTCCCCACAACCCGCACAGTCGAGAAAGCATGCATCGCAAAGGGAATGCAGTTGTGCCCGAAAAACACATGAAACTCTGTCCGTGCTTGGCTGGGGCAGCAGAACACCATGCCATGTAGTCATGCAAAGCTACCAGCCTTGGACAAGCATGAAAACCTTCAGTGGCCGCATCATTTTCATATTCCACCGGCCAACACGCAGCCCTCGCTCGAAGCCGAAGCCTTCCGGGAGTCGGAGAGTCTGTGGGTCCCACGGACTTGCTCCATGTCCTTCAGCACAATCTGGTGTTCCTGCTCCGCCTCACAAAGCTCACTGAAAAAGACAGAGTCCCTAGGTCAGAAGCGCAAAGGCACGCAGAAAGTGAAGTGAGACGCGACTTCGGCCATCCGCCCGAATTTGGGCCATCTAGTAAACCATCCCGCCCGCCTTCTGCCTTGCTGCTTGCTCTGTAAGCTTATCCTGGGCTCACGCAACCCAAATCCTGCCGGCCCGGAGAATCGCCCAGTGAGTCAGTCCGCAAAACAACGCACACAGTGCCCGGGTCACAATCAAACCCCTGGATTCCAAGGAGTCTAGACCAAAAAAACACAGACGGAAGTTACCGGGGCGTCTTGCATGGCGGGGGACCCTCCGTCCCCAAACCTTCGACTCGAAGCGATTTGGAGTGGCTCGGGGCCAACTCGCCATGCCGGCAGCGCTGCTTGCAGCTTCTGCACGTCCGCTTGCTGCCTTTCCATGTCCTACAAAGGTCCCAAAACCCCATGTTCTTGTTTTTGTTGCCGCATGTTTACGCCGCCTAAAAAAAAACAAACCTCCACCAAGTCGCCCAGGTCCCTCCAGGCCCCGCTGAAGCCGGGCACCCGCTCACGAGTCCTGGAGGACGGCGGCATGCTTCTGCTCCGCCTGCAGCCTGGCCGCTTTCTCCGCCTCCTGGTCCTCAAGCCGCGCTTTTTAACCACGCGCTGTGGCTCAAGAACACGTACCAAAATGGGCCTTCGGTAAATGGAACCAAGGACCAGAACCTGCGTAAGCCACACCCATTTAGCAAAATCAGGAATCAGGAGAGGCCACCTGGCCATGGGTTGCATAACCTATGGCGATCCCATTTTGGCCGTGGATGAACATCCATTTGCCCCCGATTTTGATGTTCACCAGGGGTACAGGTTTTGACCCCCAGCCATCTGTCCGTCAGACCTCTCGGATAAGGATACCCGTGCCCTAGGCATGGCCCAAATGGGCCAAGGCAACGAGATATTCTCCGTGGAATGCCCTGAATTCCCCGGTTGCTTAAGAGGATCCGGTCCAAACCCTTACCTCTGTCAGCAGTACCTCTCGAGGTTGGAAGTCGGCTAAGTTGCCATGGTTCAGGAGTTGAGCATCCCAAAGCCCATATGGCTGTGTGTGTGTGTGTGCAGGTGGGTTTGAAGAAAAAACTGAAAGGAAGGCCCAAGCCTGTTTTGGGAAAACACCCCTATTTTGACACATATGCAGAATTTCATGAATACCACATGGCCTAAATCCCTGTCCTTGGCCAGCTCGGCCTGATCTCCCTTCAGCTTCTCCATGTCTTGCAGCACATTCTGGTGCTGCAGCTGGAGCTGCTCCTGGTGCTAGCATCTTCGATGGGCACTCATCTCTTTCAAAACCTCATGAGTCCCAATGAAGAAACCAGAGATCCAACCCACGAAATTCAAGTCGCGAAGTCACAAGCAAACATATATCCCTTTTCCCAAGAGAAAGATGCTAATCTACTGTGGTTAGGGATCCTCTCAAGCCTATATGGGGGCGACTTTTTTGAGTCATACCCTTTTCTGGGTGATCTTTGTTGCGAAACAACAAAGGAGCAACTCATTCTTGGGGTCCAACAACATCCTATTTTCACGCGTTCCCATGTCTACCAAGCTTCATCCGAAATTGACATTTAGGGGACCTTCCGTCTTGCGAACGTCTAGGCGAATCAACTCCCAGCATGACTTGCTCCGCCCGCCTTGGCCTGCACCTCAGCCGCAAGTGTCACCTCGAGACCGAACGAACTGCGCAACCGGCGAGAGACTTCGTCTGCAGCACATGGAGCCCAAACAATCCCCATGGCTATGTGTCGGAAGAGGGATTCAGACCCACAAAAAAGGTGGTCCTTTTGGCTTCGCAACCAAGGCGAAACGGGGACCTAGAGGAATCGCCGAATGAGACAGCTCTTGCCCATGTTTGGAGCCGACTTCGAACCTCAGCTTCTGAAAGTTCAAGGTCGACCGTGGATTGGACCCCGTATACAGGGGAGCTCCCTGAGAAAGGAGTTCCCCAAAAAAAACGAAAAAGGGCGATTCGTTCTTGCCAGTCCTTAGTGCCATTGTCCAGACCTTTGCCCCCCATGGCATGTTGGGCACCTTGGTTTCAACCAGACCTTGCGACCCGAGGCCTGGAGCCTGCGCTGATCCTCCCGGAGCCGCTCGGCATCCTCCGTGGCCTGGCGCGACAGACGAGACTTTCGGACGCAGGACACAGGCAACACCCACAGAAAGGGGGAAGACAGAAATACCCTTTTCCACCTTGAATTTGTAGGGTGTAGGTGGTTTCAACATGGGTTGAACATTTTTGTTGCATGGCGTTCCAGGGAAACCAAGAGGAAACCAACCAGAATTGGGGGTTGGGGTGGTTTCAATCATGGGTTTGAACAGCTTGTTGGACACAAGGGATGCTAAAGGCAGCCCCGGACAACAAACTCACACTTGGGGGGCGGGGTTCTAACAGACCTCACTTGAGTCATTTCTCAAAAAATGGTGCCAAAGCGATCTATATGCCAACACCCGTGGTAGAGAATCAAAAGTCTGATCTGTGCTGCACGTTGTGACTGTCCAACACTATTTTCTCCAGATCAGAGGGGTTGGTAGCAGGTCTCCCTATGTTTCTCTTGTTGGGTGATTCAAGCGGCTCCACTTTAAAGTGAGCTTCCTTCATGTGGGGTCATGGGGAAAAAAATAGGGCTCGGCTCGACAACTCGGCGCTCCTGCGCGTGGAGCCGCTGCACCTCCACGCGGCTCCGCTCCTCTGCGTCCTTCTCTGCCTGCAGCCTGTGCGGGCACGCGGCGCGCGGCACGCGGCACGCGGCACGCGGCCGGGCGGGGGGGGCGGGGGGGGGCGAATTGAGTCGGGCGCAAAACCCGGCAAAAAGGCGCAGGACCCAGGCCTTGAAGCCAAACATATGGAAGCTTGACCTGGCCTGCCTGCACAGTGCTCCGAAGGAAACATTGGACGCACCCGAAACAAATACTGGGAGGAAGGAGATTCTTCCAAACGTTCTTCTGAGTTTCAGGTGCCTTCGCCGTGCATTTTTTCGGAGTACCAATTTGCGAGTTGTCTGAAGGGAAACCAAAGGCTTCCCGCACGTGAGACAAACCACCCATGTGGAGGTTTGGATTTGTGAAACCCCCAAACCACCAATCCAGACCGCCAGTCTAGGTTGGCGCGTCTCACAATCAAAACCTGGGGTTCAGCCGCCCGCTCGGTGTTGATTGTGGCTAACATGAGATTGTCTCCAAAGGGGGCAATCCCTTAAAAACACTTCCCTGCATTTTCTCTTTACATCTACCCAAAAAGAGCACCCAAAAGAAGACTTGCCCAAAAATAGTACCCAAAGTATCGTTCCCTAAATTCGGAACATGAGCCCGCTTTTGGAATAGTTGGTTGAAAGGGGAGCCAATCCACCATGGTGGAAAAAGAGCATACCCTGAAAAAAAGGACACACCCACATGGAGTCATGTCCCAAACCTGAAAACCATGCAAAGAATCACACGCATCCGTCCCCTACTAACCTTGTTTGGTGTCCAAGTAATCCCAGGGCCGGGGTTGTATCGTCACCCCCCCTCTCCCCCCCCCCCCTCGCCCCCGAACCAACCCCCCAAACCACTACCCCCACAAAGTGGAATAGCACCTTTATATGGCCATGAATTTTGATAGGGAACCACCTCAAAAATGATGAGTGGCCATGAATCCCCACCTAAACGATGTCCACCAAAGGGTCCCTTAACATTCATAGCCATGTGGTTCTGTAGCTGTAACCTCCCCCCCCCCCCAACGGCCCAACGGCCCAACGGCCTCGTACACCGCTCCTCCAGCTGCTGTTGCACGGAGCCATGCACCTCCAAGGCGCGGGACTCTCCCTGCTTCTCCGCAGCCTGGCGCTTTGGGGCAAGGGCGGCGGTCCCTTTGAGAGGTGTCCCTTTGAAACCAACACAAGCGGTTCAAAACAGCCCTTGGCCGCCGGGTCAGTTGGCCTTCCAAGGAAAGCCAATGCAAATGTTTGAAGGGAGATTGCTGTTGGGGATACCGGGCTACCTTTTTGTTCAAGCATCCACCAAACATGGCACATGCAAGAGCCTCCAGTTGGGTTCCCTTTTAGTCGGCGGGAGAGTACCCCCTTTTTGGGGTTGTGGTAAAAGCAAACCGCCCATTTCGTTGGTGAACCCATTTCGAGAGTCTTGATGTCTGCCATTGTCAAAACCCCCCTGGGATATGAATATCTCAATAGGGGAATCCTTTGCTGGACATCATTTACATGTTATATGGGGGCTTATGTTCTCCAACCATTCTTGAGAATTTGCCCAATTAAATTTCATAGACATTTGCGGCTCCCTTGTAACGCTTGTTCAAACTCTCCAGGATCCCCACGAGCAAAAGGGAGGTTTGCCCCAAAAAGAGCGGAAATGCTTGGGAAATGACCACTGGGGAAAGGCTTGTTGAGCATAGCGTATGTGGCTCGCCAAGTGAAAGACATTTGCACTTCCCTGCGCCGCGCAGTAGGGTTGGTAGGGGCAACCAAGAAAAAGCCAGCTGTTTAGAGGGTTCCCACCCCCGAGATTTGGTTTGGATTGGTGGCTTGGTGGTTTCCCAAGTGCCCTCTGCAAAAGCCAGGGGTTCAAATCCCCAAACCGCCAATCCAAATCACCAATTGGAGGGGACCTGAATATTCACTTTGCAGGCCTTGAGATTCTTGCTGTGCGTGGCGGTCAACTGCGCGCGCCTGGAGCGCCACTTAAACACAATGGCTCAGGGCAAGAAAGTGGCTTAGCCGAAAGTTTCATACGGCCCCCTTTCTGTCATCCCAACACAAAATGTGGCCCACAGTCCAAAAAGGGCCCATATGTTTGGCAACCTCCCAAAAAGCTGAAGAAACGCTCAACAGGTGGGGCGTTTCAACCACATTGTTTGAGCCGCCTTTTGATTTACTTGACTTCCATCTGAAAGGGGGTCGCAAATCTATACACCCCAAAACCACACCCCAAGGAAACCCAAATTGGAATCCCCGAGCAAGCTTGGGGCAATTCGGCCTTCAGCCCAGGACCTTTCCAGAGGTGTGCGTTTGGGATGCAAAGAAATATAAGATTGTATAAAAGGGGAAGTTCGCTCTTAACCCTCACCAGCTTTTTGTTTGAAGGGAAGGGCTAAACAGACAGGAACTTGGCGTTGTGTTTTTAGCCAATGCCCCTTCCGATCTGGAGCCAACCTTTTTGGTGCTTCTGGGCTTCCCACAGCTGCTCCAGATCTCTGCCGGCGGCCTATGCATGTATTACTGGCCAAAATCCACTTCACGGAGAAAAAAAGGGAGGAAAACCTGTCAGCTACCAACTGGAACAAAAAAGATGGGAAGCCACCTGAAATGTTCTACCTGGAAGAAGCCAATTCCGAACTGGAAGAAACCACCTACCAACTGGTCAGGTTTGTCCATCCAACAGTGGGGTTGTTGGGTAGACCGAGAGGACCTTTTGATGATGGCCCTAATGGGCTTCAAGGGAACCCTAGCCCCTAGTACGCCTTGGTGGCTACCAGCCCGTCCCTTCACAGTCGTAGGATGTATGTGTCACTTGGACACTAAACTGTTCCGGTGTCACTCGCTGGTTTGGGTGTGCCAAGTTTGTGAGCTTTACCTTACCCAAGCCTGATCAAGAACGGACTGGAAGATGAACTGAAAAGAGTCCGCAGAAAGCGCGGCGCTGCAAATTGAAGTGTCGGTTTGGAGTGGATACCATTTTCTGGATCCTTGCCAAGGAAGGAGAAACCGGGCTCAAGTGGAGACCAGAAGGACCCACCATTTTGGGGTCCGTCGGAAGCAATCAGGCCATCTCGGCTTCGGAAGTTGGAGCATGGCAAACCCCACTCGCCTACAAGAGCCGAGGCTTCAAATGCCCCCAAACCACCAATCCAAGCCAAACCACCAACTAAGGGGGAGCTGAGCAATCATAGTGTCGTTTTGAGGGAGCCCGAAAACCACGCGGGTTCTCCTTTGGCTTCCCTTCACTCGACATGGACTCCGGTGGTGTTCGAAAAACTTGCCTCCCGCCACTGCTCCCGGTGCGAGTGGAGCGCCAGCTCCAATTCCTTGGCCCTCTCTTCCTGGTCAAATCTGTCGATCAAAAGGACCCTTTGGTGGACATTTGAATGGGGATTCATGTGTGGACACCAATCGCTTTTGAGGTTCTTGATGAAAATTCATACCCATCCGGGTCTGCCTTGTTTTTGAGGCTGCACTTTTTGGCATAGTGTTCAAGGACACCCACCAGAAAAGCAAGGTGCAAAGCTATACTCCAAGGCCATCAACTGGGCAAACGAACCAAAAAAAGAGTGACTTTCGTTTCCCATGGCGCGTGGATATGGGTCATGAGTCATGAGTCAAATCCACTGTCAGGGTCTTCTTGGATGTGTCTGTAAACGTGGTTCCATTGATGTGCCTGTTGCGCTTCTGATAATGTGTCTGCATTTGTGTTGTGTGCATTCCGCGTTTGGGTGTGTGTGTGTGTGTGTCACCGTGCATTTGTCGTAGTTGTGTTTGTGTGAGTGGCTGTAGGTACCTGTCCAACAATGTACGTCTGTATAATTATGTATTTGCATTCCTCATTGCATTCATAAAGATTGCGCTTTGTGGTTCATGTTTTCTGTGATTTGTTTATGTGTCTGTAGATATCCCGGTTGCGTTTCTCAGCTTCGGCTGCTCAAGTAGGTTCAGTGCTTGTGGTCTGCCATCAATCCATGAAGGTGGGGATGACTATGATGATGTTGTGCTGGCAGTAGTTGTTCCTGTCTGCAGTTCCGGCTTATTGGGTTATGCTTCTGCAGATGGCCCGTCACGTCAACCAGAAAACGGCAGCCAAAGCACCCTTTCTTCAAAATGAGAAGCTGTCCGTGCCCTGTCTGCCTTGACGCAGCTATGGTCAGAGGTTCCATTGGGAGGATTCTTCGGGGTTCGAAGCTTGCGTGAAACTACCCCACCTCAAACTGGTTGATTCGGATGATGAGGGATCTCTTCTCCTCCTGAGAAATCCGCGCCATCCAAAAGCATGTCCGGATCAGCGAATTGGATGATATTTTGGAATCTTTTGGTGGACATCATTGCATTGGGACTTCTGTCCACCAACCAATTGAAGATGTTCCAACCATCCCAATTGCCCCTGCCTGCTTCCTCAACCCTGGGTAAAAGAGTCATTTGCCATAGCGCACAAGAGCTCTCCAAACGGATTTCTGACTTGATTCTCTGCGAGCCTCAGATTTGGCCTGCACTTCCAGAAAGGCTCCGCGCTCCAGCTCAAGCTCCTTGACCTGGCGAATATGTTCTTTCTCGTCCACTCAGATTTCTCTGCTTTAAACCCATGTCAAGCAAACTCACCAGTGTGGCTTCTTTTTGGACCCTTTCGGAGATCGGTTCAATGGAAACTCAAAGGAAGCTGGGCCCAGATGGGGGGAGTCCAAATCCCACTTTGCGACAAGCCAGGGCAATCTAGTCAATTACCCATTGACTCTAGTACTGACATGGTCGGGCTCCGCCAAAGAACTGTTGGTTTCAAAAAAAGCTTTACGATAAACCCAATCAAATCAGGTAGAACCTCTTGTTAGAGTGGCCACATTGATTTGTCTCATTATTCAGGACCCCTGCAAGTCGTTGCTTGCCTTTCGGTTCCCTTCAAAACCGTCCGGAATAGGATCCCCATGAAAGAGTTAGAGGTGGCCTCTCCCGTCCGCATTTTGCCATCCGGTCCTAGGGTCCCCCCCACACTTTTGGGCACATTCTGAATACGCCCACTAAAACAGCCCATTTTCAACATTCAAATTCAATCACCCACCCAATCCAACGCCAAAAAACACATATTCACATACCCATCTTCATTTCTTACCCCATCTCAACATCACCCTTACACTCATTCAATAACAACAATCATAACTACATGCCACCTCAACAAATCCCACCAAAAAAATCCAAGCTACATACCAACATGTTTTCATTGCCAAGATCGCAACCCCAAGATCTCAATAATTCCTCCCTTGATCCAAACTGCAACCCTTTCCCATTTCCAACAAATACGAACAGTCTAAAAAACAAGCCTATGTTCGCCCCAAAAAGTGGTTAACCATTAGACAAGGGAGAATTGAAACCGTTAACCCAAATCTTGAAAATAATCCCAGTAAATATGGATGGCAAAATGTGGATTGAACAAGGCTTCAGTAGACAGACCGCCCTAGAAACTGCCGAAACTGACACGGAAACAGCAAAAATGCAAACATATTGCAAATCCGTTTTTCCAACACCGCCGCTCCCCCACCCCACCATTTTTCACAGCATTTCGGTCGCTTGAGCGAGTCAAGATCATACCTTCCATGAACTCACATACTGCTCAACGTTGACCTTGCATTTCTCCGAAACACCCCATGTGCCGACAACCTTCTGCTCCGACGCATATCCATCTGAAATGTCACCTTCAGGAGCTACTACAACCCACTTGATGCTCTTGACTCCATTCAGTTGGAAATAGTTGTTGAACTGCTTGTAAGAAGCATCAATCTTGCAATCGTGACTTTTCGCCTTCGTGACCTGCAGTAGCCAAAGCGTGATGTTCTTGCCCTCCTTGGTAACAAAGAACAAATCAGCGGCTGGAAATGTCTCAGATTCAGGACAATACAAGAAACTCTCATCAAATTGTGGCAAAGACTTCGGTGGTGGTTGGTCACCCAACTTCTTGAGCATCTTCTGAAGCGTCGGGATGCACATTTTGACTTCAGCTGACGCTTTCTTGCCCTTCTTCTTCAATGCAGTGCAAACAAGCTCCACCTTCTTGGAATTGCAAACCTCGGCAACATGCATCTGAAATAGCCGACCGCACAAAGTGCCCAAAGGGCTGATATTCAAACTTGCCTTGATAAGGTCAGGAAGAGCTTTCCGTTGCTTCTCTGCTAGTTGGTCACACAGAATGTTGAGAACAACCTCGGACTCAATCAACTTCACGTTGGGTGTCTGAAACTGGGCATCCGAATGGATGTGTAGCACCCGACTCATCTTGCTCCTGTTGTTCCGAGCATCCATGTCTGCACCGCCACTGTCAGCAGCCTGGCACAAGTCTTCAAAGTTGCAGTTCACGACGCAGTCGCGAATCATCTGCTTTGCTTCCTCTTCCACAGTGGTCTTGTTCTCGGCCACTGCCACCAGCAATTTGTGCAAATAACGCACACTCCCTCCAATCGTGGAATATGCCTTCTTCACGTCTGCTTCTTCCTTGCAAATCTGCAGTATGCCCCCAGCTTTCCAATGGTTCAGCACCTCCTCTTCTGACCAAACTGGCATGAAATAGCGCTTTGAACGACCTTCAGCCTGCTTCCAAACACTGTCATAGTTCTTCTGCTGTGGCGAGGTGAAAATAATAGTGCAACCACGCATGCGACGGTCAACAGGCTGGGAGTTCTCACCGCCAACTGGGTCTGCCAATAGAACAGTTTTGGAGTGGTCAAGGAGCATGTCTCGCTTTGTTTCATTGTGCGTGGTGATGGTCTGCCCTGAAATGCGCGACCACCACCTTTTGCCCAGCTGGATGACGATGTTGATGCCCTCTTCGGCCAAGCGACTAGCTACAAAAGCCAGAAAAACGGATTTCCCAATGCCAGGAGTGCCTGTAATGACAAAAACCCTTTGATTCCGGGCTTGGCGAATTCTTGCTTCAACCAATTCGTGATAAGTTCATACAACTGTGTGTAGCAAGTACGCACCACCAGTTTTTTGCCAACATCTGGCATGCCCAAAACATTGCAACTTGCAAACTCCTGCACAGTATCAGCTTTCCAATTGCTGGGCTTCGGTGTCTTGGACACAGCTTCATCCAGCCAGAGGCAAAGCTCATCTTGATATCCAGGGTCCTGAGCAGTGCAGTGAAAGCAAACCAACAAAACAAGTAACTAGCAATCACCCCAAACACAAGCAAATAAACCACTCAAACAAACATACCTAAGAACCAGAGAGGAACGAAACAACCAAACCTAGAAAAGGGAATGGCGCAACATATTGATTATGTTTAAGCCAAGGGGCGGGTGCTGATGGTGGCTGGAGGTCTTGAATCCGATGGTGCAGTCTTACGGCCACGATGCGTCGCACATTCAAATCACCCACTTCGTGTAAATAGAAGGACAATGTCTCTGCTGAAGCTTTGCGCAGGTCATCCTCCGGAAGTTGTTGAATGAGCGAGCCGACACTGCTTTTGGAAGCCTCATCCATGGCGACGTCATTGAGCTGCGCCACAGTCCAGTCATGGTCAAGCTTCCGCTTCTTTGGCGGTGCTGTTTCTACCATTGCGCAAAACTGAGAGCAACGTAAACCTAACAAACATGACACTTTCAATGACTGATGCTCATCGTGCTTTGGTCGCAACTCGCCCGATCATGCTACCTCAAGCTTGAACCAACCGTTGGCGGAATCAGTTTTGCCACCGCCATTACAACATGTTGTCTCAGCAAATGTTGTTTATGAAATATCGTGACAGAAACCGTGCCATGTCGTCATAGATTCAGTGACGTGCCGTCATAGAAACAGTGACACATTGTCATAGAAACAGTGACGTGTCGTCATAGAAACAGTGACGTGTCGTCATAGAAACGGTGACACGTTGTCATACAAACAGTGACACGTTGTCATAGAAACGGTGTCCCAGAAACAGTGACATATCGTCTCAACCCTTGTCGTTGGTGACTGATTGTCGTAGTCGCTGTTCAAACCCTCAAAATCTCTGACCTCAAATAGGGGCGGTTCATCCCTTCAACAGAATAATAATCTTGACCAAGTTTTTTTTCAACCCTTGAAACCTTGTATTTGACACTGCTCCAGTTGCTCGTTCTTTCTTTCTCGGAAATCCCTTTTTTGCGGTATATTTTGACCTCATCGCCAACCCTAACAGGGGGATATTTACGGGTTTTGATTCTGTTCATCTCAAGCTTCATCTTGACCTCAAGATGGTTTCCCTTTTTGTGGGCATCGTTTGGAGTCATATCGTGGGCAGAATGAACCATTTTACTGTTGTATGTCAGCATGATCTCGGGGATATAATCAACCCATTGTATATTAACCTTTCCCTTTTTCTCGTCTGCATCAACCCTCTTGAAAAGCATGTCCTTGAACGTGCGAATGAAACGCTCGGCGAAATGGGGGTGCCCTCGTGTTTTATAGTTTTGGATCCCTTCGTCCTTGAAAAAATCAACAAGATCTTGGGTATTGAGACTCCCCTCGTCATCCGAATAAATTAATTTGGGTTTCCCTCCCATTTTGTTTAATGCCTCCATGATCCCAGCCGTGATGTCGGCAGGTTGCTTGGATGCAATAGGCACCACCGCGGCTTTGCGGGAAAATACATCAATAAGCAATAAGCCTATCCTATATTTTTGATTATCTAAATCATTTTTTGATATAAAAAACAGATCCAATTGATATTCAAAGTTGATATCAGGGGCAATAAACGAATTGTATCCAGACAGTTGTTTTTTTCCGTTCCACGTTCTCTTGAAACCACTCCTTGACATCTTGCATTGTTATGGATGCATCTTTCTTTTTTGCATCTTTGTAAGTGGTGGCGATGCTACCAAACCCAGCCTGATCGTAGTAGACCTCACTGATTATCTTGTCTTTTTCACTCATATATATAAATAATACTATAAAATGAATATCAATATGTTATTTTATCACTGAAGCATCTATTACAAGAAGCACAGAAGGCAATGACATTATCCTTTGTATGGGGAAGATCATTACATAACCTTTGACAAGTCAGATTAGAATTTATATTACCAGAATCCATTGACAACACGAAACCACAGCCACAATTTGCACACTTTCCGTTGACATTGTCCTTCAACCATTCGGCATCCACATAATTGTCTTTTGGGATCTCAAATTTGTTTTTCCTATCCTGTTCCTTGTATGCTAACACCTTTCTATCAAAATAATTCATAATGCATTTTGCGTTAAACTCTTCATTTAAATCACTACTGTATTTGTAAAATTTTACTCTGTTTAAATCCCTTGCCCGAGTGATCCCCGTCCAAAGCCACTCGCGAGTTATCAGATGATGGTTCCAATCAAAAATGGTGACATCGTCATCAATGGAACACCCCTGAACAGAATGACAAGTATAACAGAAGGCAAAGATAAAATGACTTCTCAAGATACCAATATTTAGCGTAATCTCTTCTCGTGTTTTGATATTAGCAATGGTAATCCAAGGATCGGAAATATTAATTATCTCATACCTAAAATTCACATTTAACTTATAGGTTTTTGTCTTCCTATACTC